AGAGGCGGCGGCACGGGGGAAGTTGGGGGTCTCTCCGCAGGTGTGGGGGGATGAGCCTCAAAAACGTGGGAAAAACCCCTCAGAATATGAATAGTAATTCTCCGACCGCCAAAACGTGCGGAGCAAATATTAAAGCAACCCGGTTCCCGTCGCAAGTTAGTGTGCAGCAGCATCCTCCTCTCCTGGCGCAGCGGGATCGAGGGAAAAGCCCTGCAGCATCCGTGAGGCAGATCACCCCCAGCCTGGCTGGAAGGATAGGCATTGCAGCCCCTTGGACGAGGTTTTGCTCCGCAGGACAAAATCTGCATTTTTACACCTTCTCCTGAACACTGCAAGGTGCGCTGGCAGCTCAGGAGTCCCCAAAACACACATCCTCCCGTGTACGCCATACATATGTACACACATACCCATTCCCTGAGTATTTAAATATATATGCCTGACTCAAAGCAGCTGCCTTCCAAATAAAAGCAGTACTGGTTGCTGTCTTTAGAGCAATGCAATGGATATTAATTTTAACAAGATACAGCTCGCTGTAGCCCTGCTCTTCTTTGAATGCCTGGCCTGTGAGACTTTAAAAAATTCTGAATGCGTATTTACCATAAATCCATAGTTTTTAAAGGTCTGTAAGTCCTTGGTTTATTAGGCAGTGTCAGTGTGGTAAACAATGTTCTTCAAACAGTATATATTTATAAAGCCATCGGGAGGCCTGTTTTGCAGGGGCTGCCCTTTAAAGCAAAACATAAGAAAAGCGTCAGGGTAACTTAACTCCAACATGACAGTTTACAAAACACAACAATGTCCTGACCACAAGCACGCGTGAACACAATCACTGACTGCGAGATCCGTTATTTTTTCACTATGCTATCAATAATACGGGCAGCAGCAGCAGCACGTGCTTTGCTCCTCTCGGGCGAGCTCTGCAGGCAGTCGCTGCAGAGGAGCCTCCCGCTCGCGGGACTCGAGGTGCCTGCTCCCTCCTTGGGAGTGCATGGCGGAGCTGCTCCCCTTCCCGAGAGGAGCGCGGGGGCAGTTGGAGCCCTGGCGCTGGCTCTGCCTTCCGCTCGCTCCCGGGCGGAGGTGTCGCAGCAGGGCACGAAGCCCCGCGGGAGAGGAAGAGTCCGGGGCCGTGGGAGGAAGGGCCGGCTCCGCCAGGGCCCCGGGGCAGCTGCAACAGAGCTGCAGGACCAACTCCCTGCTGCCTTCGCTCCCAATATCCGCGCTTGGAGGAATCAAACCTGCTCTTCTTAAAGTTGTTGCTTTGTTTGTTTTCTTTTTGTTTGTTGTTGTTTTCTGCACGATGTAAAACGAATTATTGCTACATTAACTTCTGTTCTTGCACAGAACTTCTGTGGATGCTAGATTATTTAGAAAAATATTTTGTAGAGGTCTAATAACGACTAATAATTTAATGCAAAAGGAAATATGCCTATCAGCCTGCTTTCTCCACATTCAAATACCTGTAAAGAAAGTATTTGGAAACTTTTTTTTTTTTCGGAGCAAAAGATAGAGTATCTTCTACATGCTTAGATTTTTGCCTAGGTAGGATACAGTCACGGTTTTTTAAATGGACTTCAAAGTGTTTATTAACACAGCCTTTGCAATGAGGTTTCTGCAATCAGGGGCTCAGAGTGGTTCCCTTGGCCCTGCACCCTCAATGTGGAACACGCCCCAGCAGAACCCCAAAGATAGCTCAGCGGTGGTACCTACCCAGGGTATTTCTATTATTTATTTATTTGTTTATTTATTTGTAGAAAATAAATCTTTTAAGTGGCTGTTTGGATAACAGGAGCATGAAAATAGTGCAGCAAAGTCAATGCAACTGTTAAAACTTGTACTTCCTGAGCTTAATTATCTACAAGAATTCTTGGCCTAATGAGGAGGAAGAAAAGGATTAGTTCCTTTTTTATTATTTACCCCAAAATATAGGCAGTACTCAATTAAAGCAGCCTGAGCATTTTTGTTTTTAGATCTTTGATTCATCTGCTAATGTAAGTCAGAGTAAAATTTTTATGAGAACAGTAGAGCATCAAAAAGTCTCCTATTTTAATTACAATATTTTTTGTGGTACTGCCAGAAAAATCAGTTTGCTGTAAAAATTTTGAAAAACTTTTAAACCTTTAAAATATTTCCATTAAAATGATTTTATTTTTTTAAGTTATAAAATAAATAATGTAAAAAAGAACTGTAAATGTAATACAGTAAAATGTTCACCATTTTACCAAATCCACTACATTTTGGCTGTAAGAAAAGGGTTTTTTTAAAAACAAAGCCTTGCCAAAATAATCATGATTTCTTTACTTTGGTGTCATTCCAACAGATTGTAAAAGCTCAGCTTGGTCCTAACAGATGTCATGGATACCTGGGCTAATTTCTCAGCTTCACCAAAGTAACTCACATTACAACAAAGTACCTGACAGCAGAATTTATTCGTTAAAATTTTCTTACAGCAGTTGGATCTATTACATTTTTCTTAACTGCCTATTAACCAGTCTGCTCTGTTGCCAACCTGCCCGGGTACATTATTGCAATTCCCTATCAGAAGTGATTCAGCTTCGATGGGAACTAATCATGTTTGCACCATAATCAAGTTTACACCATTTAAATGGTCAATTTAATGCAGCTCAAAAAAAGCACAGCCAGGGTTTCTTGTGTTTCCCAGATCTCGTATGTGTCCCCGATTCTCAGTTAGACCACTTGCACCCGCAGCGCGCGCTGCCATCGTGCCGACGCCGTGTTACATGTTTGATCCCGTCTACGTCGCAGGGGTCAAGCACAGCTGAATTATGTAGGGACCTACTTACAGGACTCGGATGACACAGGCAAACGTACGCAGGGCTTTTCAGAAACTGGAACTCACCTAGAGGACTATCCACTGAACAATTATTTTACTTCAGCTTCATTTACCATTTTTCATATATTCCAAAACATCAGTGGCATATAAGAGTATACAAATAGCTGAGCATTTGCACATGTGGTTTGTCTTCAGTGTATTTCTGTAGCTAATATTGTTTCTAAACGTGCATTTTGGATCAGCATTAAAGGTGTCTCACACACACACATATACATGTACCCGCTTTACATTTTGCCCTTCTTACAGTCCAAATATCCATAACTTAAACACACTGGAGAGCCAGAAAGGGCTCTGATTTTGCATCAACATTCTGTTCTATTTTTACTTAATCTTTTCATTCCACATTTTTCAATGTCCACCTACTCATGCCCGTCCATCTCCCCAGAAGCTTTTTGCTGTCAGTCAAGTGACAACCTCAGTAGGAGGCTCTCTGTGTTCACAGGCCTCCTGAGGCCAGCGCTACATTTAGATGGGGAAAAAAAGAGAAGAAAAAGAAAAAGAAGAAGCTGTCGGGGGGAGGAAGCACAGGGGCTTCCTGCAGGATGCAGTTCTAGTGCCTGCAGAGAAACAGGCACCCAGCTCCTCCAAAAAGCCCTTTTCCACAAAAGTGCTGGCACACTTACTGCACTCCCACACACCTCCTACTCTGCTCAGCTCTTTGGGAAAGAGGGTAAAATAACCGCACACGTCCAACACAGGCGGTCGCGCGGGGCGAAGGAAGGGGCGCCCAGGTGCCCGTTCATCAGGGCAGGCACCGTAGCTGCTTCCCAGCGCAAGTGTTCAGAGGTGCCTAGCTCTTCCCTCCTTGGATTTACTGATTCTTAACGGACCTGTGAGTATTGAACGTTTGCTGATAAATGACTTGATGAGATTTATTGTTAGCACTTCCAGAATAGCTGTCGATTATTTGATACAAGAAGGACTGCGTTTCCCAGGTCACGCTTGCGTTCAGCCGAGGCTCCTGTCCGTAACACCCAAAGCTGCACCAGGAGCAAACCCGCGGGGAGCCCGGACACATTTGTGCGCACACGGAGCTAGCAGAGTGTTTCGTTTCAGCTGGGGTTAACAGGACATTTGCTGCTGACCTCAATAAGAAAAGGATCAGACAACAGCTCATTTGGAAATCCACCCTGCAAAGAAGTGAGCTTAGGCACTGCCGATTATTTACACTTCTTCATCACCATCGTAGTCACAATAGTTCGGTATTTATTACTGCCCTTATACTGATTGCAGGAACTCTGACAGTGTATTTATTCTGGCTAGGCATATGTAATGACTTGATAATATAGACATAGACAGATATGGATTTTTTGCTTTTTCTAGCCAAGACAGTTGTGGAAAATTAGATAAGCCTAATAGAACTATAACAGGATTTTAATGACAACTGAATTAGTAGCTTCTATTGCACGGCTCCCTACAACACAAATTTCATAGTTAGCTTAAAATTTGTAATACACCTCGAT